GAGAGAAAAGGCTTAAAAAACAATTATCCAACATCGAAAGTTTGTGGGAGCAAACACCACTTTAAACCCTTGCAACCCAATGTCAATGGCACACAATTTTGACACATGAGGCAAGCCCACTTTGCATATGCCTGTAATGTCGTGATAGTGGGGTCTCGCGAGTTATAAATGTGTTGTACATGAAAGATATGGAGTAAAAAATATAAGGTGGGCCACCACAGTTTTTTTTAATTAAAAAATTCTTAAGAATTGTAAATTGTAAAATTTGAAAAAAGGATGAAAAGCATTTGGTTCATTCAGAAGCGTCAGGTTCTCTGACAGAGAACTGAGTACTGACCGGCCCGAACCAATTGGTTCTGGGGAGAGAGCTGAATATTCTAGGATCCAGACCACCATCGATGATTCCTAATCTGGATCAGGCGATTCCAATGTTCAAAAAACAGGACCGCCCAGCGTCTAGGCGGTCCAGAAGACCTAGGCGCATCACCCAGGTAGTACGGAACCCGCCTAGGTGGCCGCCCAAGGCCTGCGCCCCGCCTAGGGGAAGAAATTTTATTTTATTTTTTTGTTGTATTGATTTTTGTTTTAAATATAAAGGCTTTGAAGGATGGGTTTTAGGTTTATTTCAAACCTAAACCCACAAGAACCCATTTTAGAGAGAAAGAAAACTAAATTTTGTTACTTTCATTGGATCGAAGTGTTTCTCAAAGTTACGAAAAACGAATCCAAACATCACCCATGTAGATTTGATTTAGTTTTGGAGTTTTATAATCCTATTAGAGGGTGTTTTTTATTATTTTAGCACCAGAAAACATCTCAGATGTGAGAGTTTGACGTTCGAGCAATCAAAGTAAATGCAAAATTTCATTTTTTAGATTGCTTGTTTTATTTTGAGATGTCTTCTTCAGGATCTAGTCGAAGTGGATATCCGGGTTGGAAATATGGATATAACCCGAATCCAAATGACAAAAATTGCATTAGATGAAACTTTTATGAAAACTATACGAAGGGGACATAAACCGGTTTAAGAAACATCTTGACGGTATTAAGAGGGATGATGCCTCTTCTAAAAATGTTCTTGAAGCTATCAGAGAGGAGATTAAGCAATATATGAGTTCTATAAAACAAAAACAGGAACAAAATCTTTGTCATTTGAATAGGTCAATTTCTACTACTTCTAAAAAAAGTAATCCGGGTTGGAAATATGGTTATAACCTAAAACCAAATGATAAAAATTGTGTAAGGTGTAATGTGAAAAAGATACCAATCGAGGTAATAACCGATTCAAGAAACATCTTGCCGGTATTAAAGGGAATGCTTGTAAAAAAGTTCCTGAAGCTATTTATGATGAGATTAGACAACTTCTAAATTTAAAAGAACTAATAAATGATGAAAATGAGCCTTGTTCTGTGGAAATATCTTCTCCAAGTTCTTCTAAAAGTGGTGATCCGAGTTGGAAGTAGGTTTATAACCCGAATCCGAATGACCAAAATCATATTAAATATAATTATTGTGGAAAGGATACTAATGGGAGCATTTACCGGTTTGAAAAATACCTTGCCGGTAGAAAGGGGGATGTTGCCCTGTGTAAAAATGTTCCTGAGACTACCAGAGAGGAAATTATACAATATTTAAGTTCACGGAAGCACAAAAAGATTGAAAAGTGTAAAGCAGCCAAGACTCCTAGAGCCTCATCTACACATACTAGTAAGAGGGAGGTAGAAGAAGAGGAAGAAGAGGCAGATTAAGAAGAAACAAAAGAGGACGAGCATTATATTGAAGAGGGAGATGTCGCTAATGATGATGATCTCGATTCTGATGCATATGATGAAGCCCTATTCCTTCTGATGATGATGATTGAAGAGTGAAGACTCTTGGTGTTTAGTGTTGACTGTTGAGTGTTGACTATTGTGTCCTAGACTGTATATTTCCTTAATTTCTGTGTATTTTCTTTTTCTTATTTTTAGTTTCTAGTTCTACTTTCTAGTTTCTAGTTCTACTATCTAACTTTTGTGTGTATAGTCTACAGTGAATCAGACTATCAATGTATGCTTGTATGGTTTTACTGTTTTAGCACTATATGAAAATATGGATTATGGTCTTATGGATTATCAAAATTCTGTTCTCGACTTCTATCTTTTTTTTTTTAACTGGGATTATGGCCATACCCTCAATCACACCGTGAGTCTCTCTACCAAGAGCCAGAACCTGGGCCACCCAGGTTCTAGGCGCCCGCCTGGGCACTGGGGCGGCCTGGACCCCCATGACTGCCTGAGTGCCGGCTAGCGCTTTTTGAAACACTGGGTGATTCCAATATGGATCGACGATTTTTCAAACCTTGGTGGAAAGTAAGCCCTTGATTCGATAGAGAGCTCAAAAATGGACTTGGGGAAGAAAATTTCGACCAAAATCGAGTTAGAGCTGCCAAATTTGCGCAAGTTTTTTAACTTTGGCCAACCTTACTTTGAATACAAAAATTTTGGAAATCAGAGATTTTTTACTTTTAATCTTGAATTGATCTTTTCAATAGCTAGAGGATGCAAATATGCTTATGGGGTCAAATTTCAAAGGAAATGGAACTCTGATCACAGAGAAAAATGGAAGGGCGTCACTTTTGCAAGTGCCCCTCTCCCCCCTTTAATACTAAAGGGTGTTGGACTCATCCGATTCTGACTGAACTTGGCCAAGTTACTAGAGTAACTCGGGTGAGAATGTGAATATTAACCCCCATAATGAGTAGGAAGGCTTCGGGCTCGACAAGTTGCCAAGCTTGAGTAACTTGGGTAACTCCAACTCGAACACGGCAAGTTTTTGAAACCTGCTTTCAAATTCCTCAAAGTCCACTGATAAAAGGATTCGAAGTCAAAATGCGAGGATTGAGAGGCCTCTTAGGTATTCTCCATGTTGTTCCATCCCCAAGGACGAGAGCAAAGGCAAGGGCTTGACTTGGGCAAAAGGAAGGGAAAATTGAGTGGGAGGAGAGTGCTAGTTACTTGTCTTGGTTAACTTTGGACTCAATTCCAGCCTAAATCAGGCTTTGTTGTGGAGGAAGACTGAGGGTAAGATTTCTTGAAGTGGGATAACTTTGGATAAGGAACCTATGGTCGCCATCTGGGAAAGAGATTGAGAGCGTTTCTAGTGAGGTGAGAGAAAAGGAGAAGAAATAGGGGTAAGGTTTGCTCGAGGGCATGGGGAAGCAATGAAACATCGATGTAGAATAATGTGGGATGAGTATAAAGGATTGCTAAGGTGTGCTAAAAGGAAGAGTGAGGTAGGAGAGGGAGAGAAGAGATTGACAGGGGGGAGGTCGATGAGGTAGAAAACAGAAAAGTCTCTGTGCTTGTAGAACAAGGAACTGGGATGAGGGTTGGGTGCTGCAAATAGGGTTACTGCAAATGGGGATTAAGCGGAAAAGAGAGGATGAGACTAGGGGTTAGAGAAGAAGGGGAGAAGGGAGAAGCAATGGAGGGGAGGAGAAAGAGGAGGTGAGAGAGAGTGACAAAGAAGAACAGAGAGAGAGGAGAAAGTGGGTAGAGGAAGTGCAAAAGAATGATATCCGGTGTTAAAGGATGTTTTCTTGTTGGCTTTTGGTATCAAACTTTCCTGCTGAGTAGGTGGATAGCTGAACTTGCTCCACTTGAAAAGCTTATGAATAACATGTGGAGTAGAAAGTCCCAAGTCTATCATAGAGGAGTAAAGGTGGGGGAAGGAAACGTGGTTGGATCCAAATCAATAGGTCTGTCAGTCTTCTTGGAGCTGCAGTACCGTAGGGATTGGGTCATCTGGACTATCCATCACAATCTTGAAGGTAGAAGGCCTAGAGTTCAGAGAAACCCAGGGAAGGGGGGAGAAGATATTTAATGGTGTTATGTGGCGTGGTCAACCCTTAGTTAACAGGATCGCCCAAGACAATGGTCGCTCTAGCTCCGGAAGCTCGATTTTGAGGTCCGGGACAAGGAATCTCAATTCCATATATTTTTGAATTTAGGGATCTCTATCGCCAAAATTGGGGATCCAGATCCCTGGTTAAGGGGATCCAGATCCCTGGTTAATGGGATCCAGATGCCTCTCACCCAGCACCTGCAATTCCTCCACGAAGGACATATCATGACAGATTCGTTGTAAGACCACACAGAAGAACATGGAGAACAACTTGGGCCACTCTCGCTTCCAAATGGCTTTGACTAAGATGTTTATCAAATATCCCTATGAGATGGCATCAGTCAACCGTCTCATGCAACTCTTAGCTTTTGATCATAGTTGCTGCAGATGAATCATATGGGAAATATAGGCCAGAAAACATTTGGCTCTTTTATATATCGTAGATTACTAAGGAGACATGCTATATTACCATGAATGACTTACTACTACCTACCAAACAATTTTCCTTTCTCAAGTACGTATTACCTAGGAAGCAACTATCATTCAGCATCGTAAACTGCATAAATTATCAAAAGGCACAAGACAGTGAGTGAGGATAAGATGATAGACAAATTAATCACTATTGAAGTTCTGATATTAAGACTTGCAATATGATAAATCAACATGACGTCATGTATGTCAGGTACCCCTGACTTAAGTATATGTCAGACAGACGTGTTGACATGTCAGTGACACCTTCTAACATTTCTCAGATGCAGCATTCAGTGTATCTTCAACATCTTCAAGTCATACATACAACACTCGATTCGTTAAACATCAACATGCCCAGAAAAATTTTAGACAAGTGTCCATATTTTGACATATGTGTCCATAATTCTCAATGCAGGCTGCAATTCTGGAGACCCAAGTCTAACTTTTATCTGAATTTATTATTATTAAAGTAATAATTCCATTTTATGAACATAAATATGTACAAAAACCTAAGCATTGTGCAAACCACTTTCAGATGTCAAATACAGCATGTCCATGTCCTTCTAGCATAGGTTCAAAGTCAAAATAAAATAATCCACAGGGCAAGGTATTCAAATATTAATGAAATGAAATCACAGATGTCCAACCTTTGTCATTTCTTTGCTGAACTCTTGCATCGTGGCAGCCACTTCTGGAGCCTTCATTAGACCATTCACAATTTTCATAACTTCTGCACTCTTTGACAAGTGTCCCACTGTTCGAGCAGTCACTGGGGAAATGATTTCACAATACAAAATGTTCATAAGAAAATGCCATTATTCAATACTTAAGTATCTCAACAAAATTAAGATGCAGTAAGATAAGTATAGTAAGATCAATAATTAAAGAAAACCATGCCTTCAGTCTCATACATAATCGAGCATACAACCAGCTAGTCAAAAGCATCTCAACAAAACTAAGATGCACTCTTTGCACAAGTTTCTGAAAATTGGAGTCTATTCTCAATATCTCAGCACCCTACCTTATAAAATATGTGTTCAGTATGGGGAGAGGCGGCACCTCTTCTAATAGACTCTTCTTCTCTCCTGTTCCCTTTTATGGGCGACTCTTCTTCTCTTTTGTTCCCATTTTTGGGACTAATTGGCAACCCTCTCCCCCTATCTCCTCTACCCTCTCCTCAGTCTTTCATGTCAATTATGATGGTAAATATATATGGATGAATATTTTTGCTAGTTTATCTTTCGTATGTTTTAAGTAGAAGGCTCTAAAGGGCAATGGGAAGGCCCAAAAGGACATGAGTAGATGTAGTGAGAAAAGATATGGTGTCTTATGGTCTGACTGAAGAAATGGCACTTGACAAAGAGGAATAGCAAACAAGATTTGTGCAGCCGACTCCAAATATTTGGGATAAGACTCACATGATGATGATGACGTGTTCTTTTTCCATCACTTGCAACTTATTGCTTTTCACTTGAGTATCCTATGTCCTAAACCTCCTACTATAATTATTTTTACTATTAGAACATCAATTATAACTTTTCTTATTTTTATTATTTGTACTTAGATTTTTATTGTAGTGTGTAACTGCAAAATGTTTACCACCGAAACTACACCGAAGGCCTGCTTTATAAATCCTTTAGACAGGTGTGTCAATTATTATGAGGTTTTTGTAAAGTGTGGGAAGGTGACGGAAGGAGCAAGAAAAATGGGGGGGGGCGAGGGACATCCCATGGAGAGGGAGGAAGAGAGTAAGAGGGTGAGGCTGAGAGAGGGATCAGAGGGTAACGATGAGGGTGACACCAGTGTTTGCAAAACAGGGCGATCTAACTGCTAACTGCTCGGTTAGATCTGGTTCCTGTTTTGGACGATTTGGTGATCAACCGATATTTAAAAAAAAAAAATTCAACAAAATGTATATAAATTCCCAAAAATAAGCAATTTGATTTGTAATGCATTTTTTAATATTCTTTACATTATGATAAAGATTAAAAATTGTTTTGGTCATTAATACTCATCTTTATATTTTCCCATCTTTTTCAAAAAAAATATAAAAATACCCCTAAACACAAATCGATTCGTTAACATCCATTTTTTCATTAATTTTGTATAGAGCCTAGCCAAGGTCTAAACAATCAAATTAGAGCCTACCTTCAAATAATGTGGAGAAATGTGGTTATAATGCTGAAAATCTTTGTGATAGCCCTAAAATATATCTTCACCTTTATTTATAAAGTTTAAACCTTAAAAAATAGTGTAGATCGACAGATCTATGAAAATCTTGAAAATTGACGGTCTAAACATGCATTACAAAATACACTATTTCCAAAACTTGAAATCCTTTTTTTTTTCTCATATCTATGCATCTTGATGATCAATTTGAGGATATCTGGGCATCAAAACAACCTCTTGTAGTGAAATTTTTGAGGTAGGCTCTAATTTGATTATTTAGAGCCTCGACTCTATATAAACTTTTCCCTTCTTTATATGATTTTCATATTTTAGTAAACATTTTTTTTATCTTTTTATTTTTTTCAACACTTTTTTGACCGCTCGGGACTTGCCCGATTAGAGCGGTTGAATCGACCGGTCTACCGGTTGGGCCGATTAAACTGCTTCCGCACCCATGTCCGGTTAATCGTTCCGGTTCGAGTTTGCGAACACTGGGTGAGACTGGAAAAGTAGAGAGTGAGGGTGAGGGTGAGCAAGAGGGGGTTGAAGGACATCCCACAGAGAGCAATAGAGAGGAGGAAGGAGGGAGAAAGAGTACGCGGGTGAGGGTGAGAGAGAGGTGAGAGGATACGGGTCAGAATGAGACCTGATAGAGAGAGTACGGTGAAAGGGTGAGTGTGAGACTTGAGCAAAAGAGAGGGGTAACAAGGTGAGAGCAAGAGAAAGAGACGGGTTAGTGGGTGAGGGTGAGAGGGTTGGAAGGTGAGGGTTAGAGACAACCCACGAAGGTAAGAGTGAGAGGGTGAGGGTTTGAAAGATAAGAGGGGGGTGACAGGGCGAGGGTGAGAAAAGGGGTAAGAGGGCTAGGGTAAGATGGTAGGTAGTGTTGTTCACAAAAGTGTGAGATGCTTGGATCAAGAGACCAGCGAGGTGGCAGAGGGTATGAGAGAGATAAGGTAGGCAGGATTTTGTTGGTCGAGAGAGGATGAGATGAAGAGAACAGGGAACTGGACAACGGGGAAACAATGAGATATGAGGTCGACTATGTGCATTTGTGTGAGTGTGTGTGAGAGAGAGAGAGAGAAATTGGGGGCAGCAGAGATATAAGGTAGAGAGTGATTGAGGACCTAGGACGTAGAGACAAGATGATTCAGAGTGTGTGTGTGTGTGTGTGTGTGTGAGAGAGAGAGAGAGAGAGAGAGAGAAAGCGAGGCCAAGGACGTGATCGAGGGAGAAATGTTATGAGGCCAATAGTTTGTGTATTTGTGAGAGAGAGGAGGGGTATTAGGAAGGTAAAATAACAGGAAAAAGAGAGAGAGAGAGAAGACTAAGAGAGAGGATGATTGAGGGTGACTGTGTGAGAGAGACCGGAGGAAGTGGGGAAGTATCACGTTACGTTGGAGGTTTTGAGGAAAAGTGCATGGCGGTGGGGAAGAGATAAATATCAAGGTAGTCGGAGGAATGTATGAGCTTTATATGTGATGACCCTAAATTAAAAAAAATGAAATAAATAAATAAAATAATAATATTAATAATAACAAAATAAAATAGTAATAATAATAATAATACTAACAAATAAATAAATAAAAAATAAATAAAAATAAAATAAAATAAAATAAAAATAATTATATAAAAAAATAATTTTAAATGATGGTCCATGGTGTTAAAAATACACCATAGGACTATCTTTTTTATTGAACACGATTTTGCATCAAAAAAATTAATTTAAAAAAATACAAGAGTGAGGTGTCCATCATTACACACTCATTAGTATGAGGTGGCACAAAGTGGTATTAGGTGGGCCATAAAGAATGAGCGGTGGCACAAAGTGGCATTAGATGGCCCATAAAGAGTAATGAGGTGGCACAAAAAGGGATGAAGTGACTCATTAAAAAAAAAAAAATGACAAATGGAGGACAAGTGTCAAAAATGGTTTAACTCTCTCCACTTATAAATAACTTCCATTGGCCCTTAACTAACCCCCATAATTGGTTTTCTCTTTTTTCTCAAATGTAAACTTCTTTTCTCTCTACATAAGTTTTTTATCTCTCTTATTTCAATCACTCTCTCTCTCCCTCATCATATCTTTCTCATATAATATTAATGATATTCTCATAATTCTATTATGATAATATTATCATTCTTATGTATTATTATTACCTGATAATAATATTATGATTTAAGGATATTCCCATTCTCATAATAAGAATATTATTATTATTATCTCATAAAATATTATGATAATATTATGTTCTCTTTCTCTCTCTTATTTCAATCATTTTCTCTCTCCCTCATCATATTCTCATAATGATACTCATAATTTTCTTGTTCTCTCATTTCAATTATTCTCTCTCCCTCATCATATTCTCATAATGATACTCATAATTTTCTCACTCTCTCATTTCAATTATTCTCTATCCCTCATTATACTCTCTTGATGATATTATGATTAATAATATTCTCATTAGTATATTCTCATGATAATATTATGATTTAATAATATTTTCATTCTCATATTTTCATAATGATATGATGATTAATAAAATTCTCATGATAAAATGATGATTAATAATATTCTCATTATCATACTCTCATGATGATATCATGATTTTAATAATAATCTCATTATCCTCAAAATGATAGTATTCTTATAAAAATAATATTGTTTATATAATTAATATTTTCATGAAGTATTATTTTCTCATAATAATATTTCTCTCTCTTATATGAACATATTTTTATTACTCATTCTTCCCATATAAACTCATTTGGCCTCTTTTCTCATACTTTAGTTGAACGCCAGTGATCTCAATCTTACTCTGACAATAGTAATAACATACCCATCTCGTGACATATAAATGTAAGTGATCTCATTTTCCTGTAAAATAGTTATTTAAAAATTAGTATTTCTGTATATCAGTATTATTTTTGTCTATCAGTATGAATTTTAGATATTGTAAGTGTGAGTGCAAATGGCTTTGTTTTCCTGTAAAATAGTTATTTAAAATTTGTATTTTTGTGTTTAATTAAATTGTAGTATTTACATATGTAAATGTTAGACACTATAAGTTGTACATGATTATTTGAAAAATTATAATATGTTCAGATTTTAAACAGTATTTAATTCTGGATTTTCATAAGATTCATTTTATTGTCAATAGACTGCTTATCATGTTTAGGTCTCAAGAAAGTCTTTAAGAACTGCTACTACAACCCATATGATTAACTGGTTATTTATGGAAAAAACAGTAAAAGTGATTGATATCGATTGCTTCATGAGAATTTATGTTAATAATTTCAAGGATATTTTGAATATACGATATTGATGCTTCCTGATGTTTAAAGAGTTTCAGAAATACTTTAAATATACAAGTGGACCTATCCGATACGCTGATAGGAATTAAGTGGACTAATCTAGTATACTGGTGAGGTATAAGTGGACCTACCCGGTGCGCCGGTAAGGATTAAGTGGACTCATACGGTACGCCGGTGAACTATAAATGAACCCGCAGGGGTTAAGTGTACCCATCCAGGATGTTGGTGGGGTATATAAGTGACCTATTTGGGACACCAATAGGGTAATTTGCGCAATCTTTGAAT